TTGGATAAGGAACACACGAATGGCTTCTTGCATCTGATGCATGGTGAACAGCAGTAGCATAATATGTGTTGTTGAGGGCAGAGTGGTACTACTTGGATAATGAACACACAAATGGCTTCTTGCTTCTGATGCATGGTGAACAACAGTAGCATAATATGTGGTGTTGAGGCAGACTGATGCTGCTATGGATAAAGAACACACGAATGGCTTCTTGCATCTGATGCATGGTGAACAGCAGTAGCATAATATGTGGTGTTGAGGGCAGAGTGATGCTGCTTGGATAAGGAACACATGAATGGCTTCTTGGTGAACAGCTGTAGCATAATTAATGGTGTATAGCCACTGTTGAAGAATAGCACTTATCTAATAACTCTAAAGGCACTGGCTCAGAAGAGAATTTGCATCCAGTCACAAATAGTTACAGGGCATAAATAATGAACAATTAAGAGTTCACACACTAAACCCGTGAAACATATTTAGTACTAATAATTAGTAGTAATTCATACAGTATCATTTGTTTCCTTTTTAGTACCAAAAATTAGTATTTGTTTCACAGGTTTAGTGCGAGCACTCTAACACTGCAAAAATAAATTGCTAAATAATTAAGTAAAATGTTTTATTTCTGTCTTCAACATCAACATCATGATACGAGTAGAGATATTTATGTCACTGAATAACGAGGTATATTTTTTTACAGCACTGCACTTGTAATGGCATGGTTAATGATGCCAGTGTCTTTTTAAATATTTTTCTGTTATTACCATAAATATCAAAGTTGTTTGTTTACATTACATCGTTTTCTATACAAACTACAAATATGTGCAACTATTCTAATTTTTTTAGTTTTATTAAATACCGACCTATTTAATACTTGTCGTGATCAGTGTTGATATATAACATAACTATGGTTCACGATTTAAATATTGTGGTGGAAATAAAATATTGAGATGACAACAACTTGACTGGTCATGTAGGTGGTTAGCAAATATGTTACCGGCATTTGCATTGCTACGCGGCCACCCCAGACAAAAATCACAATGTACACTTTGCAATAGACTGCCGTCCATCAAACACTTTGACGGCATTTACATGCGTGTGTGATTCAAAAGGTGCCAAAACTTTGGTCGATTGTTAACAAGTATTATGAGCCACACTCACCGGGCCGATCCAAATGCGTGTAAATGACGTCAACTTGTTTGATTGACGGCAGACTATCGCAAAGTGCATGTCGTGATTTTTGTCTGGAGTGGCTGCGTAGCAATGCAAACGCCGGTAATGAGACAGATGGTTATCTAGTCCAGGTAATTGGACATCAAAATTATTCTTTCTATYTATCCATCCACCAACTAATTTTTATTAAGTGATCAAAACTACCCCATCCTTATGAATACTGGCTTTCAATATACAGAGGTTATTGACTGGCCAGGAGGTCTGGATAGGGAAAAACTAGCTGTGGTTGAGGTCAATTTTCAAGATTGAGGGCATAGTTTTTTCCCTATCTGGACCAACATTATGATAGTACCTTTATCCCATTTACTTTTCATCTTGTTTCCCAATTATTTTTGTCGTTGTTAATCATTCAATCCACAAACTCATAGTACTGGACCACAGTCAGAGATAGAAAATACCCTCACTTGTGCAGCCAATCAGAACTCATGATCTTTAGGATACTGGCCAGAAAAACAAAATAAATTGATTGAAATTTGAAAGCCAGGAGACAATTCAAGATTGCCAATAGTCAAGATTGCAAGCAAAACTATCCATTATAGACATAAGAAACCTTGGCTGTATGCCAGGTCAACTAATAAAATATAAAGAACTTTATAGTTTGCCTTGTGTTTTAGAGATGATTAAATTGGTGAAGTTAGCTTCTCAAACATTTAACCAGTCAACAGATGTTCAAGATTCAATCACTGTGAATTTAGTATTTTGACATTTATATAACCCTAACGTTGGCAAACACCTCTCTACTAGCACTTTGATACTTTTTGTCAATAAAAGAAGGATTAATGAATCCAATAGATGTGCAGAGCTAGTACAGAGAGAGGTGGTATAAATATGAATATGATCTGGTCATCTGGCAAGATCATGCTTTAAATCCTAAATTGTTTTTAACCAACACTGATCAAACTTTATACACCGTTCTCATGATGGCTGACAAGCGCACCAAAATGAGGCCACCCAGTCAACTTGTAAGGCTGAACAAGTCTGCTCATACAAAATAAAGGTGGATAGCGTGAATTCAGGTTAAAACAAAAAGTCAATTTCTATACTTTTCTTTGTTTTTTCTTCTATTAACGCATTTCATGTGCTTTTATATCTTCTATTGTAAACTAATGACTTGTCAGCCATTATGAGAACGGTGTATTGAATTCCTGCAAACCAACTTGGTGTAATAACATTTTCAATAACTACTGTGCATTATCCCATTATCTAAGCATTGCTATAAAAACACTGCTTTAATTTAACTATATCTTAACTTAACTGACATATAATTTTATGAAGATCTTGGTAGGCGGCGAATAATTATGTACTCTAGATGTTAGAATCAATTAGCTAAACTTTAACCTCTCTTGTATGATTGCACTCTGTAGGTGTTTAAATAAAAAAAACCTAAAATAGCTGCCTAATTATATTGCACAGTAGATAAAAAAGGATTCATGGTTTTTTCATATCCTTCCAGCCTTGGCATCCTCAATGGAACCCCATACATCAAATATGAAATCATCAGGAAACTGAAATATAGCAAAGTCTTCATCCAAACAAACAGCAAAATCACTGGGATTCCCCTTGTTTTTACTGAGTTCAACCAGATTGATTGCTAAAAAAAAAGAAATTCATTCATTAGAACGCTTTACGATCATATGTTGCTCAATACAGTGGCAGATCCAGGGGGGTCGAAGGGGTCCATGGAATCCCCCTTGAAGGTTTGATCTTTTAGGTAATAGAAATATGTCTTAAGGCCAATCTAGACGGCACAACTTTTGCCTACGACTTGTACGCGCGTACGCTGACGACATCCCTACAACTCGAATTGCTCCGTCTAAATTAACCGCACAACCTGCTCACAACTGTCGCACGCAACACGAAAAAAGCTGCACAACTTTGAGATTTTCCTTAAAGTTGTAAGCAATTTTTACGAAAAAAGCAAGACTGAGGGGGAGAGGGTGGCGATATGGATCTGGAACCAGAAATGGCACTTCCAAATGTTACGAAAACAACGATGAAAACAAAACAATGCAAAGACGAAGAAAGAAATTTTCAAGCGTTGAAATCGAAAGGTTGGTTAGTGGATGGGCAAAAGAGGAAGTTTTATTCAACTGTAAGCACTCGTCTTATTTCAACAAAGATTATAGAGCTGCAGCAATGCAGCGAGTCCTACTTGCGATCAACAAAGAAGGTAAAGTTAAGTCGATTAATCATGCTATTTTGTGACTTGAATGTTTATATTTTTCATGKTTAGACATGTGATGTTGCTATTTTGCTCATAAATTCCCGTGCTATAGTTTTAGCTAGGTCAAATTGGAGGTTCCAGTTTCTTTTAAATAATTTGGTTCGCTGTACTACTGTCGGCCATACACTTTCTGTCCGCCATCTTGTTTGTTTCCGTCCCCAGTCTCCTAAACAACAAACCGAGCAAATTACGTGCAACTTTTTCGTGTCGTAAGTTGAAAGTTGTGCACGTCTAGATAACAGCTACAACACGTTCTAAAACTCTCGCGTGTACAAGTTGTAGGCAAAAATTGTGCCGTCTAAATTGGCCTTTATATAAATTTTGCTTAAAGTGTATATGACACGAAAAAATTTTAATGTTAAGAATGTGTAGTTTATTGGCATTAATAAGAATATCACGGTTAAATTTGTTCCAAAAACGTATTTCTCTAGAAATTCAAAAACTTTTAGCACGAGTTGTGACGTCATTTTGTTTACAAGTCTCCAGATTTGGTTGCAAATACGTGAAATATGTTTGAATATAGAATCTTAATTTCAAGTAGTACACTTTTCAATTTCCCAACATTGGAAGAGTACTACGTAAGCTATCAAATGAAGCTGACTAAAATATGTCTTTTGTTGTTAATTTATATGAATTACAATTTATATTTAG